TTTTCATTTAGGATTCACCTTTAAAATTGTGTATATTTACTTATTTGATACAATATCATATTTTATTTAATGTTAGATAGAATTGTAAACTTACAATTTTACATAGTATTATAACTATAGTATTATTATTTCTTTTTTCATTTACCTCCTTTGAAAAGTAGACAAAAGGTGTAGATAAGAAAACAAAATTTATTATTTCTTATTTAAAGAAATGAAAATTTTGAAATTATAAATCAAGAAGTAAATTTTATTTTATTTTTTTATTTAAAGACACAAACTTCACCCTATTTCTATTAAGATTATTGTTTGTGACATTATCATCATCATTTAATAATTCTTTAAATTAAAAAATACAAGATACATATCCTTATTTTTTAAAAAAATTTACTGTTTGATTTTAAAATTTTAAAATTTTACATTCTTAAATTTAAAAAAATAAAAAAAAATCATACTTTTATCTGCATATTTTCTCTTGAAAACAAGATTAATGGAGCAGAATAGAAAAAGACATCAAGGTAGAAACATAATTTTTTGGATAAAATGTGAATTTTATTTATCCAAACTAACTGTGTACAATATAAACAGCAAATATGCTGCTACTAGAAAAAATATCCAAACAAAATATACAAGTAAACAATATGCACAAAGCTAATTTTGCACTATTGCTTCAAGCCCCCCACTTGCACGCAATAGTTGTTAGCAATAGTGAGGAGTTTGGCCAAACAAATCCTAGAATTTTTGTTTCTTACATCAAACTAGATGTCATGAATAATTGCACTCTTTAATTTGAAAATTTGCAGGTGAAACCTTCTATTCCTCTCCATCCAAAGATGGTAAACAGTGGCATTCCATGTTAGCTTGATTAGGGTGTTATATAAAGGCTTCCTTCGAATTTCCTTACCTAGCCAATGCATTAGGCTTTTTCAAGAATCAGTAAATGGTATGTTAGTTATTGCACAAAGCTGCTGCCATATATTATTGGTGAAACTACACTTTAAAAAATAAGTGATCATTTGTCTCTAAACTAGTATTGCACAGGATGCAAGTGGTAGCAATTGTATGTGTCCATTGCTTCTACCTAGCTCTTTTGGTTAGCTGGTTGAGAATGGCTAGCCAACTAATAAAGGTATGCTTTGGAATAGCTTGATAAAACTAGATAGCTTGTGCCATGCTTTTCTACCCTATTTCCTTCTTAGCCAGTAAGTTTGTCCAATTTTGTAAATTCCAAATGTATATGACACCAATAACACCTAATCTTTCTCACTTTGTTTTGACCAAATACTAAATAGATGCATATCAATTTGTACCAATTGAGGTGACCTAGCATGAGGCCACCTTCAAAAACCTCCACTAATTACACTTGCTAGTTTTGCTTGTAAAGGTATCCCTATATATCTTACAATAGAATCACCATAAGTCTTTAGTAATGGCCCAAAGGAGGAGTAGAAATAGATTTGAATTGAAGTATACTACAAATCCAAAATCTTAAAAGATTGAAAAACATCTAAGAAAAGAACTAATATGCAATTAACAAGTAAATTATATGATATATGGTATATAAGGTTGGCATGTGAGACCTGAATGATATTATGACTGTTAAATAGGGAGTGTGGTTATGGTCACATATTTATTTGTTAAAATCACATAATATTGTTTAAAAAATATTGATTTTATTGAATTTAACTGTTAAAAATAATTAATAACTAATTAATAACTGATATTTGTTACTTAATAAATTAAAATTAGTTTATAAATTAATACTTTTAGATATTATAATAAATTATATAAAAAAGAAACTACAAATATCAGTTAAATTAAATCCAATTTGTATGGACTTAACAAATTGTGGAATGTCATGACCACACCCCTAAATAGGGTTAAATTACGTATTTCTGTTTTATGTTGCCGTTTTAATTTTTTAGGGTTAAAAATGATGTGGGACCTAACTACCACTTGGACAACTCAGGTAAATACATGGTATTTGAACTTGGAAATAATTGAGAGACCGCTTTTTTTTTTT